CTCATCTGCATCCCGTATGGTGTCCGTGTCCTTGTACGGCATCCGCGATGCAACGATTTAGGTACAAGTCACATACCACATACAGTATCCTTTTGGGGCCTCCTAGACTCCGCACAGATTCATATCTCCATTTGCGGATGAGGAAATCTTGGGACTTCTTGTCACAGAGCTGACAGGGACACACTTGGATGCCGGGCTGCAACTCCTGCCCTTGCTGAAGGGCACTCCCGTTCCCATCTGCAGGCCCGTAGGCACCGCCCTGGGCCTGAGCACCAGCAAGAAGTTCCTGTGAGTGTCTTTGAGGACCACGGAAGTCCTATTGTCCTGTGGGGGCCGGCGATATCGGGGACCAGGTGGTAGATACCCGGGTCCTACCACTCAGTGACCCCCAGCCCCATGGGAGGGCAGCGGGACCTGCCCTTCAGAGCTCTTAGGAACACAGGGACCTTTGCGTTTCCTCGGGGGCCGTCCAGCCCCTCATGCACTCCTCTGCATCACAGAGAGGTGAGCCTGCCGTGGCCTCACGACTGAGGGCCGCAGCTGCTCACGCATGGCCCGTTGGGTCATGGAAGCCCCCTTCTGGTTGGGCCTCGTGGTCCTCAGGACCCACTGGCAGGGTACGGAGGTATCAAGCAGTTTTCTGCCAAACACCTCAGGCTCCCCACCTGCGAGGCGATTTGGCGTCGTGATCAACGTGTTACCAAGAAAAGGAAGGAAGGACGACCTTAGGGCCGACAGCCCGTGCACTGGGCGTGTAGGATGACTTGGGAGTCATCCATGGCCTCTGAACCATCTCCGGGAACCAAACAACCTCCAGCGTTTGGGGAAGGAAGTGTGAAGCGTTCCAGGGAAGTCAATGTGCCGCTCTGGGAGCGGAGCTAAGGCGGGAATGGGCGGAGGGCACGGGGAGGCCAAGTGAGGAAGAAGAAAGAGGAAAGAGCGTGGGCATTCGCAGGACTCACGGTAGCCAGAGGCTGGCGCTTCTGGTCCTCAACTAAGGCATGATGCTACCTCGGCGCTCAGGGATGTGAGTCCGGATTCAGGCTCTGAGAGGAAGAGCAAACGTAGGGCCTGAGGCTCCGCCCGGGAGCGGTGGAGGGACCTCTGATGAGCGAGGAAGGCTCCTGCCCCGGGACACACATCAACGTTGAAGACCAGCTCCCCGGGAGGCTCTGGACAGCCTGCCAAGACCAAACACGCCTCCTGCCGGTCCTCAGGACCTGGGGCTTTGCCTGATGAGGAGGCAACCCAGACACGACCTGGGTTGCTTCCGACTTGCTCAGGATTGGCCCAATGCTTCACGTACATTTTCTTGAATTCGTGAGGTAATTTTCAACACGGCCATCAAGGTTCCCATTGCAGGGATGAGGAAATCAAGACTGAGATGCGTAAAGTCATGTCGGAGTTTGGTATCTCCCAGCAGCTACTCCGAAGAACAGCATCCAGGCATGTTGTTTCTCCGGCGAGGGCCGATCCCACTGGCTGGAGCGTGCGAAAGTGACACAGGGAAGAGGCACAAGGAGTCCAGCGTGCCAGCTTGCAAGTGAAGCTTAAGCCTGAGAGATATATCAGAAATGATGTAACACACTCATTGGGCTTCTCCTAATTCAGCAACAAGGGATCTGCAGTCTTTATAAACCAACTCTCCAGAAGCATCGGTTGAGCGTTCCTGTCAGCGGGTCACGCACCAGGCAGCGTGACATTCTGCTGTGGCATGAAAACAGCCGTTAGGCATAGAGATGTCGATGTGGTGGGTAGAAACACAGGAAGGTCTGAGATAAATGGCTGGCCTTTTTCAGGCATCATCTACGGCCTACGGTCTTCTCCACTCAGACCCAACGTCTTATTCTTAATGATGGTGGACGGGCACCACTGGTACAAGAGGAAGGCAAGGCAGAGGAGGAAGAAGAAGGGAGAGAGGAGGAGACGGGACGCGGGGAGAGAGGAAGGTAGACGGAGGGAGGGAAGGAGGGAGGAAGAGAAAACAGTAACTGTGTAGTCAGTGCATTAAGTAACTCACTCTGCTGGTTAACAAGGTGAGGACTAGACTCACCAACTCCTCCTGGATTTCCCAAACTGCCCCAGTTATATCACGGAAAGTCCCCCATCCTCTCAAAGCCCTCATCTCTGGGTGAATCAGGACGGCTGGTCACTCAGGAAGTTCGGTGCCTGACGCTTGCCTGGTCTTGGTGTGCCGCTGCTGTTTCTGTCCACCTGCTTGATTCTGCCTCGACCTATGGAAGAGATGAAGTCACATATCTTCCACCCAAGTGTCTTTGATTGAACTGGGACATTGAGGTGGGGTAGGGTGCTCCAAGAGACCGATGCTGTGGCAGTCTGGAATCAGGCTTTGTGGGGAAACCGACCTGGGCTCAGGCATGATTCCAATTCATCACTATGAACGTATCAACAACAATCACGCCCCTCATCTCGGGGATTTTCCTAATCTACATGCAACCTAAGGACCGACGCTGGGGAAGGACCACTAAACTGACTCGCCAACCACTTCCCAGGCCAGGGGGAGGGAGTTACGTCACGTGATGAAATTATTGAAACGAGAATGATGCTTCTGATGTGACCACCTTGTTTGCATCAGAAAACGTCTCCATGAGTTATTCTCAATTAAGAAACACGTTAGGCACTTATTTTCGCAAGATTCATTACATTCAGAAAAAAACTTCCTCTTCTTCAATTCCCAAATTATTAGGCAAACGATGTAAACAACAACAAGAAAGTCATGCCCATTGGTCCAAATGTGGGGCTCTAGTGCATAAAAGCCCCACAGCAAGAGGACACAACAGAATCTGAGAAACTCACCTCTGAACAGAAGCTCCCCCTCCACCGGTGACACCATGACCGACTCGTGCTGCTGCTCCCCTTGCTGCCAGCCTACGTGCTGCAGGACCACCTGCTGCAGGACCACCTGCTGCCAGCCCAGCTGCTGCGGGTGCGGCGGCGGCTGTGGACAAGGCGGCAGCGGGTCCAGCTGCTGCGGGTCCAGCTGCTGCCAGCCTTGCTGCTGCCGCCCCACTTGCTGTCAGACCACCTGCTGCAGGACCACCTGCTGCCGGCCCAGCTGCTGTGTCTCCAGCTGCTGTCAACCCAGCTGCTGTGGGTCCAGTGGCTGTGGGCCAACTTGCTGTGGGTCCAGCTGCTGTCAGCCAGCCGGCTGTACCCCCGTGTACTGCAGGAGAACCTGCTACTTCCCCACCTGCTGCTGCTTGCCTGGATGCCTAGCCCAGGGCTGTGGATCCAGCTGCTGCTAGCCTGGTTGCCAGCCAAACTGCTGCCATGCCCCCTGCCGGAGGACCACCTGCTGCCACCCCTGCTGCATGTCCGGCCGCTGCCAGCCTTCCTACTGCTGACTGCCTCACCAAGAACCACCATCTGCACACAGCACTGATGTGCCATTTGGGAAACAAGGACACTGCCAAATGCTACTGAAAGCCAGCATGCAGTCGCCAACATTTCTGTTACTCATCTGCCTGTTCAAAAGCTTGTGAATCAGCTTGAGGAAGTGGGGACCACTTTTCCTGATTCTCTTCTTCCTTAGGTCCCGTGAGACCCTGCCAGCTGCATGCCTCCAGATACTACGGAGTCAAGAGGGGTCAAGATCTCTGCTTTGACTCTGGAGTCAAGATCTTCATCCTACCTACCTTTGAGAAATAAATCCTCTTGCTTGATACATATTTTTGCAACGATTAATGTCTGCACAACTATGTTTTCTTTCTCGCTGCGCTCACAGAAATGCTAACTTCTTCCTGTCACGATCCTTTTGAATGTCTCCCCAGACACCGGGA